AAAGGCTACGGCATGTGATAGCATGGGTCACGCGTGAACTCAGTTTGCATAAATTAATCACATGTGGTAAAAGAATGTCCAATTCACAAAAAAAACCCCGCAATAACTGATTATGCGGTGTTTTAACGGTAGAAATGAAAAGTGCGGGCCGGTAAACAATTGCACAAAAAGTGCGTGTGGAGCTGTTAAGTATCCATACAACAAATGGAACAGAAAGTAAAAAACAATATGCAATATTTTATCAACAGGGTTTTGCCCGTGGAATCACATGTCAAGTAATATTTTTCAGTTGCCTAGCGGGGGAGGGGGTTTCCCTAATCAAATCCTTTACGCATGCCCTTCAGGACTGGTATGCGGATTTTAAGGAGAACCCCATCGCTGGCAATTAAAAAGAAAAAAACAATGGAATGGGTCCCCCCCCAAATCCCATAACGATAACCCTTTGGCCTGGTATGGATTCAAATACCCTATGGAATTGGAACGGGGCCCCATTTTTTTTTTTTTAATTTTTAAGGCGTGGGGTTCCCCCCAATCCTTTTACCATGCTCCTTCGGGTCTGGGTATGGGATTTTTAAGTTGAACCCCATGCTGAAATTAAAAGAAAAAAAATGGTGTGCCCCCCCCCCCCCCAAATCCAATTGCCAACAGCCCCTTGGTCTGGTAATGGATTTTATACCAGATCCTTAGATCTGTGTGAGGATTTGGGATGTGGGACCTTCCAATGGTGGGTTTTTAAATTTTTATTTGGCGTGGGATTCTACCACAATCCTTACCCATGCCCTTTGGGTCTGGTAATTTGATGTTAAGGGGAGAACCCCATGCTGAAATTAAAAGAAAAAAAACCTGGTGTGGGCCCCCCCCCAAATCCCATTACAGATCTTTTGGGTCCTGGTATGGATTCATAATCATATTCTTTTAGAGAACCAGCTTTTGTTTATTGATTGGAAGGAGACTCCATGAGTTTATTTTATTAAGATTATGGAGTGTGGTTTCCCCCAATCATTACCATGCCCTTCGGATCTGGTAATGGATTTTAAGGGGAACCCCATGCTAAAAATTAAAAGAAAAAAAAAAAGGTATGCCCCCCCAAATCCATACCAGACACTTTGGTCTGGTATGGATTCATAAACAGAGACCCTTAGATCACGTAAGGATTGAGGGGAACCCCCCCATGGCATTTTTTTTTTATTTTAGCATGGGGTTCCCCCTAATCCTTACCATGCTCTTACAATGGATTTATACCAGACCCTTAGAGCTGGTATGGATTGGAGGGGGACCCCCATGTCATTTTTTTATTTTTATTTTGTCATGGGGTTTCCCCCCAATCCTTACCAATGCCCTTCAGGTCTGGTTTGGATTTTAAGGGGAACCCCATGCTAAAATTAAAAGAAAAAAATGGTGGAGCCCCCCCCAAATCCATACCAGACCCTTTCGGCATGTTTTGGTTACATTTAAGGGAAACCCGCTGACAGCTGAAGTCATCCATTGTTAACCACATTTGCTGTCCGACCCGCTGTATATAAAACAGCCGGACGGTGGTACTTCAGTATTTGGGGCGGGTTTGGGCGTCCATGTTTAAACGGTGCCCGCCATTATGGACTGTGTGCACTCCCTGGGGATGCACGCAACACTGCGCTCCGGTGCCCACACTGATCGTCCGTACAGGACCTCTGTGCGAGGTCCCGATCATGTGATCACTGATTGGCCAATCAGTGATCACATGCAGAGTAGTAAGCAAGATGTCACTTCTGACATCATTGCTTACTTACGTGTGAAATCTGTGAATGATCACAGAGGTCACATGGTACAGGGCTATTCACAACAGCCTTGTACCATGTGACAAACTGTGACCTATCACAGCTCACTCAGTATTTCTTAATGACTGCAGGAATGCAGCCAGAGAGAAGGAGAAATGATGCTTTTTACAGCCTCATTAATGAGTGTAAAAGCAATCAGTGTAAAAAAAAAAAAAAAAATCTTCATTACCCCCCCACAAGTAGTTTACCGTGTCACCATGGTGACAGTATGTAAAAAAAAAAAAACATAAATAATAATATAAAAATAAAAATGTAAAAAAAAAACATTTAAAAATTATAATTTTTGGTTATAAAACTAATTTGGGTTATTTTTTTTTACTAAAAAGATCACGGAATAAATTTTGGCCAAGATTTATGATGAATTATGATTTATTTGCTAAATTTTATTAAAAAAACACTTTTTTTAACATTTTTGGACTTTTTTCATTTATATAACAAAAAAAAATCCAAGTGGTGAATAAAATACACACCAAAATAAAGCTTTATCTGTCTCAAAAAAAATGCTAAAAAATTCATAGGGGTACAGTGTTGCATGACCGCGCAATTGTCTTACAAAGTGTGATAGCGCTGAAAACTGAAAATTGGCCTGGACAGGAAGGGGTGAAAGTGTCCGGACTGGAAGGGGGGGAAAGTGTCCGGACTGGAAGGGGGTGAAAGTGTCCGGACTTGAAGGGGGGGAAAGTGTCCGGACTGGAAGGGGGGAAAGTGTCCGGACTGGAAGTGGTTAAGGAAGCTGGCTGCCGCGTCCTTAAGAGCTACCATGCAATAAATTACCGCATGAAAATATTCGGTAAATACCACAATAACGATAATTTTAAAACCGCATTCGTTATTTACCGCAAAATTCTTGAATTGCACATTTGCAAAAGATTTACCGTATGCGTTATTGTACTTAATTTTTTCTGTTATTATTTATTATTTACCTCTTAGTGAAGTGACCCCAATGAGTAATATTATTATTATTATACAGTGTTTATATAGAGCCAAAGGGTTTGCTCAGCGCTGTACAGTAGCAAGGGGGACAGTACATGAGACAAGACAGTAACAATACAAATACACGAGGGGTTCGAGGACCCTGCTCTTTGGAGCTTACAATCTAGGAGGGAGGGGAAGGTGGTACAGGAGGAAGTGGCTGTGGGGGATGGAGTGGTAGGAGGAGTGGAGGAGATCGGTTTTTAGGTGAGGGTGGGGTAGGCTTCCCTGAAGAGATGGGTTTTCAGGGTGCGCCTGAAGGTGAGGAGGGTAGGTGACAGTCTGATGGATTGGGGTAGGGAGTTCCAAAAGATAGGGGAAGTCCTGGAGAAGTCCTGCAGTTGGGCGTGGGAGGAGGAGACCAGGGAGCTGGAGAGTATAATTTTTCCTGAAAACCACATTCACAGTCAGGGTTTCATTCACTCCAGAAACATTTTCTATTCGGCTCTTTCAAATTTTCTTATCACTATGGTCAAAAAACGATCACCAATTTGACCCCACAAACCATTAGGAAATGGACTAACGTTCCAAAAATAAAGATTTTTGAACAAAATTCGACTTGTTTATTTTATTGTTTCATGATTCCAATGGCTCTATTACATTGCTGGCCAGGGAAGAGGTAAAAACAGGCAGCTAAGCCCTGCTTTTGACACCCACCTACATTCTAACATCACAGACAGACAGGGGTGAAGGGTGGTAATCACTTTTGCTTGTGTGAAAGAGTCCTGACAGTTTCTGTAGGGCACAAATGATGCAAAAATAGCCACTTTCATGAAAGAACACCAAGCCGGCGAATGGCTTTACCACGGTTGAGGAGGATAACTGGAGTTCAGCCGGGTCCCATAACATCTCCTAGATTAGTGGTGACAACTTTCTCTAAGCAAGAAGTAGACCCCCCTTCCCAGGACACAGAGCCGAAATGTGACGTGTTATACAGAACATGCTGAAAAGTGGATGCAGCTGTTACCGTCGAGGGTGATTCTTTCACAGCCATTTATAGAACCGCCATGCCAGCTTTTTCACCAAACTCCAAAGGCTACCCATAGGCTGACTTTCTCTTTTCCTGCTAAAGAAGAGGTTAACTACTCCCCAACTAAAGTGTTACTAAACCCCCAGCAGTACAATCAGTCTGTATATGCAGTAAAGCATGCTTGTTATACTCACTGTGGAACCCTAAGGGTTAATCCTCTGCATTGTGTAAAAAGACTGTTTGATCCTTTCTTCTCTGATCCTCCCCTTCGTCCAGTGTCCCCCTCTTATCTCCTGATAAGACATATCGTGTGGAGTCAATCTGCACATGATCAGTTTGGTGTGTATTGCTAAAGAGGTTTTTTTTCTTTTTCTTGGGAGAATGCATGTGATCAACACAGGGCCAATCAGCACAGAGGGTCCGGGGTCCTGTATTCTCCTAGAGCAAAATGAAAACTCCTCCCACAAGCTTTAACCAGCGATCTGCTGGACACTGATAGAAGTCACAAGACTGCTATATACTGCTAATAAAAAGGTATTCAGCAGTTTATATTTACTAAAATAATTGCATTTCCATGTTCTGTGTACTGTGGGAGACCAGATATAGTAAATGCAGGGTTCAGGGAGACCAGATATAGTGAGTGCAGGTTCCGGGAGAGAGCAGATATAGTGAATGCAGGGTCCGGGGAGACCAGATATAGTGAATGCAGAGTCCGGGGAGGCCGGATATAGTGAATGCGGGGTCTCGGGAGACCAGATATAGTGAATGTAGGGTCTGGGGAGACCGATATAGTGAATGCGGGGTCCGGGAGAGCGGATACAGTGAATGCAGGGTCCGGGGAGACCAGATATAGTGAATGCGGGGTCTGGGGAGAGCGGATATAGTGAATGTGGGGTCTGGGGAGACCTGGTATAGTGAATGCAGGGGGGTCCGGGGAGAGCGGATATAGTGAATGCAGGGTCCCAGGAGAGTGGATATAGTGAATGCAGGGTACGGGGTGACCGGATATAGTTCATGCAGGGTCCCAGGAGAGTGGATATAGTGAATGCGGGGTCCCGGCAGAGCGGATATAGTGAATGCAGGGTCCCCGGGAGAGTGTATATAGTGAATGCAGGGTCCCGGCAGAGCGGATATAGTGAATGCAGGGTCCCGGGAGAGCAGATATAGTGAATGCAGGGTTCCGGGAGAGCAGATATAGTGAATGCAGGGTCCCGGAGAGTGGATATAGTGAATGCAGGGTCCAGGGAAGAGCGGATATAGGGAATGCAGGGTCCCGGGAGAGCGGATATAGTGAATGCTGGGTCCGGGGAGAGCGGATAGAGTGAATGCGGGGTCCGGGCAGAGCGGATATAGTGAATGCGGGGTCCAGGGAAGAGCGGATATAGTGAATGCTGGGTCCGGGGAGAGCGGATATAGTGAATGCAGGGTCCGGGGAGACCAGATATAGTGAATGCGGGGTCCGGGGAGTGGATATAGTGAATGCGTGGTCCGGGGAGAGCGGATAGAGTGAATGCGGGGTCTGGGCAGAGCGGATATAGTGAATGCAGGGTCCAGGGAGAGCGGATATAGGGAATGCGGGATCCGGGGAGAGCGGATATAGTGAATGCAGGGTCCGGGGAGAGCGGATATAGTAAATGCAGGGCCCGGGAGAGCGATATAGTGAATGCAGGGGTCCCGGGGAGACCAGATATAGTGAATGCAGGGTCCAGGGAGACCAGATATAGTGAATGTAGGGTCCGGGGAGACCAGATATAGTGAATGCAGGGTCCGGGGAGACCGGATATAGTGAATGCAGGGTCCGGGGAGACCGGATATAGTGAATGCAGGGTCCGGGGAGACCGGATATAGTGAATGCAGGGTCCGGGGAGACCGGATATAGTGAATGCAGGGTCCGGGGAGACCGGATATAGTGAATGCAGGGTCCGGGTTTTAGTAACACTTTAAGTCCTCATGCACACGGGACGATTTTACAGCGGCTGTTTTTGGCTTTTGGGCATTTTTTCTACAGCCAGTAACCCCCAGCATGTTATCCTATGTGTCCATATACACACATAGACTGGAATCAACGTTTTTTTTGGCTGGAAAAAAAAACAGAACTAGCGGGTTTCTAGAGGAGTTTTTTAGCTGTAAAAATGCTCTAACATTGAAAAATGCGGTAAAATGCAGCAAACCAGCTTTTTGGACTTTTTTTGAGCACAAAAAATGTTTTCTTGTTAAAAAAAAAGCAAACGTGAAAAAATGTGGCTAACCGCTAATGCAAAATGCTAAAAAAACACACAGAAAAACTTGTTCTTTTAACGTGACTTTACACAGCTAGGCATTACCAGCGTAATTAAAACACCCCGTGTGCACGCAGCCCAAAAGTGGTAAACGTGCATGGTACATACAGTATTTTTTTTTTAATACTTTTTTTAATGTTTTTTTTTTTATTCATTGTTTTATCTCTGTGCTTGCTTAAAGTGTATTTCCAAATTCTGCAGTCAAATTCAAGAAAGCCCCCACAATATAAATTTTGGTTCCCATTCACTCTAGGTTCACATCTGTGCGGGTGGTGCTGCTGCAGATCCGCACGAAAATCCGTGCAGCCGCACCACCCGCACAGAGGGAATGCGGACCCGCGGGCGGGTGTCATTAGTTTTAATAGCATGCTGCCCGCACTGGAAAATGCAACCGTACTGAGAACCGAGGTTTCCTGTGTGAGCTGTGTTTTGCAAACTAGTGCGGGGACTTCTTTCCCTGCGTGTCACGGGCACGAGAGTCCATGCAAAACGCGGCCCGCATGGCCGCATAGATGTGAACCGGGGGTCACACAGCATAGCTAGAAAAAATGAATAGAACCTTTTTCTTACTTTCTAGATGATTTTATGGAGAAGACCTCATGGCACCTCATGTCCTAAGAACAGGTCCAGGCTCCTCTCATTAACATACAATGCAGGAGGCCAGCTTACAAACAAACAGAAGGCAGTTCAAATCCAGTTTACACCTGATAATGGGGATCCACCAGCACAGTATTAAAAGGAAAAGACAGACCAAAGTTTTTTTTTTGGCTCTACTTCTGACACTGACTGCATTTAGGCATCTAGATGTGGTGAAGAAGACTTGCTGAAGTTCAAACTGAGCATCAGAAATGGGGAAGAAAGGGGATTTAAGTGACTTTGAACGTGGAATGGTTGTTAGTGCCAGACGGACTGGTCTGAGTAATTTCATATACTGCTGATCTACTGGGATTTTCACACACACAACCATCTCTAGGGTTTACAGAGAATGGTCCAAAAAAGAGAAAATACCCAGTGAGCGGCAATTGTGTGGAGGGAAATGCTTTGTTGGTGTCAGAGATCAGAGGAGAATGGGCAGACTGGTTAGAGATGACAGAAAGGCTACAGCAGCTCCAATAACCACTTGTTACAACCAAGGTAATCCGCTGCTCCAGATTCCGATCACTCATTTTCCATCAAGAACACAACGCACACGCATGTTATTTATTCTACTACACTGTTTAAAGACCAAGTCAACTGGTCCCTGCGGCCC